CGGGCACGGGTTCGGGTTCTCGTGAGGACCGCAGAGCTCCTAGAGAGGGATCACACCGGCGCCAGCCCGCCTCCACAGCTGGTGTCTCCCACCAGCCTGGAGACGCCTGTGATTTGCATACCCATGGTGCACCACGAAAAGACGATTTCTCGATGCTGGAGTTCCAGCCCCACCAAGATATCTATGCTATTTAGTGCATACTTCCTGTTAGAAATATATGGTCTACTTAAATTCCAATCAGGGAGCACGAACTCCGCAGACACTGAACAACCATAAGTGTGCTAAGTGTTGTCTTGCTCTAGAGAGTTCCAAGGTAACACAGGAGGGCATGCTCTGGTTTCTCTTCAGATCGCATAAATCTTTCGCCTTTTACTAAAGATTTCCGTGGAGAGAAACAATTATGAGTGTTTACCCAATTTTTTGAGGCCTCATTTTGAGGCTCAGTTTTTGTGGTTAAAAAAAGAGAAAACAAGTAAGTTGCTTTCATAGCCTGTGGGATCTTGCCTTTTCTTGGGAATATGATTGATTAAAACTTCTGTGGTGTGTAGTTAGTGGAAACAAGCCCTGAAAATCTTGGGTAAGTAATATAACTGGGTAAGTAATTTAAAGTCTCAGTGATAAGTGCTCTCTGTTCAAGAAGGTGAAGAAGTATAATGAGAAGACGTGGGGGCTAGCTGCTGAATGAATCTTGAACTTTAGGCCCTGCTTCTCCTGCTAATTTGCATCTTTCATAAATTTACAGCCACCAACAGGTCCCAGTGATGGCCTTATTCAAAGCATATGCTTTTTTTTTTTTTTTTTTCTAGGAGAGAGAGAGAGAGAGACAGCGTGAGCAGGGGAGGGTCAGAGAGAGAGGGAGTCACAGGCTGAAACAGGCTCCAGGCTCTGAGCTGGCAGTCAGCACAGAGCCCGACGCGGGGCTCGAACCCACGAACCGCGAGATCATGACCCAAGCGAAAGTCGGACGCTTAGCCGACTAAGCCACCCAGGCGCCCCTCAAAGCATATGCTTCTTGCAACCACGTTTTACTTCCTCCACCCTGGTCCTAGAAGAGCTCCTGATGGATTCATACAAAACCCCGCTCTGTAACTCTCCAGCCTGCACAATCCTCTCCAAATGTCTTCCTCCAGGACATGCCATTGGTGCCTCTCCTCCTTCAGGTCTCTAGTTCTGGGTCTCCAGAGATCCACCTTCACCACCCTGTATGAAACAGCCCCACTCCCACCACATTGCTCTTAATCCTTTCAACCTGTTTTATTTTTCTTCAGAGTACAAACTACTTCCTAAATTATCATACATTAATTTCTTTACTTGTCTGCTATATGTTTCTCCTAGAATGTAAACTCCTAGAGGCAGGGACTTTACCTGATTTATGGATTCCATGACCCTAAATCAGTGCCTTTCACATGAGCACTCAATATTTATGGAACAAATGAATGGATTTCTTTTCTAAACACATTTGTATTTAATCTGTTCCACTACAGTTCTTAACACTTTACAAATTAAACTTCCTACGAACTCTATTAAGCGGATTTTGTTATTATCTCCGCTTTATAACAAGGAAACTGAAGTATAGAAAGGTTACATACCCTACTCAAGTCACAAAGTCAGAAAGCGGTGGAGCTAGGATTCAAACCCAGGCAGCCTGGCTCCAGAAGAGACATACTCTTAATCACTGTGCTACAGATGAGGTTAAGGACATGCTACCCCAAAATACAGTACCTTGGCATATTGAATATTTTAAGCAATTTGAGAAATCAGAAAAGTCACTCTTAACCTCCCTGTCCTACCCTAGCCCCATCTCCCTTCCTTGAAACAGGTCATAAAACCCTCAGGTGAGAGGTGCCCTCCTATACTGGAATCCAGGAGTCATCCTTATCTCCAGAATCAAAGGGACTTCAAGAAGAATCCAAACAGGATTTTTTAATCTTAAATTTAAATGCTAAATCTCCCCCATTTACTACACTTACCTCATACTCTTTAACCGATTATATTCCTCCATGAGTATCCACTCTTCATCAAACCCAGCATAAAAATACCCAGGTTTAATCATTTCTTTTAGTCTTCATTTCCTTATGAAGGCTCTTGTATTGTTAAAACTTATATTGGTATATACGCTGCTGAAGTGAGCACACTAAAACTTAATATTGGGGTACCAGGCTGGCTCAGTCGGAGGACCATGTGACTCTTGATCCCAGGTTTGTGTGAGCCCCACGTGAGGTGTAGATTACATACACACATACATACATACATTAAGAGGGGTAAAAAGAACTTTTTCCTCCTACACTACCTTTTCTTTTAGCAAAAAGAATTTTGCTCTAATTGATCTGCACTGAGCTTTTTTCAAAGATCACAGACACCTTTTTATATCACTATAATATACCATAGTTAATTTAACCAGTCTTCTAGATTAAACCAGGACATCTAGCTTGTTTTCCATTTTCATTATCTAAACAATGCTGTTATGAAGTGGTACTATGAGTAACCACATGTTCAGTCTTGGGAGATGACGCCAAATAACTTTCTTTAATTCATGTGCAACATATTTTTGTAAAAAATTCCTGAGACAGAAGTTTAACCTTATTTTCTGCTAATCAACTGACCCTCGTTTTAGATTGGTAGTATCTTGTTTTACAGCTCTTTTAAACTCTTTATGGAATAAAATATCATTTAAATAAGGAAATAACATCAGCACTGAACATTTGCAGAGCACTGATTATGTGACAGAGGCTGGAGTAACAAGAAATGAATAAGGCATCATTCCAGGCCTAGAGATCTTTGCCTAGGGAGATTCAGATCCTCAGGAAGAAAAAAGGTGTCTAATGAATGAAAAAAGTAGTGATGTGAGAAACAAAGGCAGAAGGCAATGTAGATAAAATTAAATCTCCTCATAACCTGCAGCCCATTGACAAATACTTGAAGCAGGCCCACTAGAACATTCTTCCAGGAACTCCCTACTGTTTTAATGTTACTGCTTTGCTAGAGGGAAAAAACAACCTTAGCTCGACAAGAATGAGGCCTCCGGGATTCTGTGAGTCTTCTTTAGCATATGAAAGTCCTTCTGGAAACTTCCCCTGGCCTTTACTTTCCCCAGCCCCCAAGTATATAATCAGTCACTCCTCACAATCCCGGGGCAGCTCTTCTTGCCCACAGGTCCTGTCCCCATGCTTTAAAATCACCTTTTTGCACTCAACCATGCTTTCTTGGCCGTCAGCTCCTGCCCCACCATTACTCCAAAACTGCATCAGTAGCATGGGGAGTCTTCAGTAACCGAGAGAGTGAATGTACAGCCAGAGGATTACTGCCTTCGGAACCAGGGACTTTAGGCAAAGGTAGTAGTTGAGAAAAGAGTTGCTAATATTTGGAACCACTAGTAATTCTGAGTGTCCTGAAAGTGAAATAGAGTGTGTTTCGTCCTGAGCAATAGGGATGTTGAGGGGCTTAATAAGGGTAGTACGGCTGATGATCTTAAACAAGACTGGCTGCAGTGTGGAAAATGGTGGGAAGAGGGCCATGGCAGGCATGGCAGGCGTGGAGGCAGTGCTGGAGTGAAGACAGGAAGGCTTGTAAGAGCCAGTTGCAATAATTCTTAACACAGATAGTACTGGGTGAACTAAATCGAAGAGAACTGAACCAACTGGAAAGGTCTCATAGGGGAGAAAAAGTAACTTTTCCCTCTACTCTCTGAGGTCTTGGCTGTGGCCTTTGTAGTAAGAGACAGATTAACAAGAGAAGAACAAGTTTATTAACATGTATACCTCATGTTCATAGCAGCACTCTCCACAATAGCTAAAACATGGAAAGAGCCTAAGTGTCCATCAACAGATGAATGGATCAAGAAGATGTGGTTTATCTATACCATGGAATACTACATGGCAGTGAGAAAGAATGCAATCTGGCCATGTGTAGCAACATGGATGGACCTTGAGGGTGTTATGCTGAGTGAAATAAGTCAGGCAGAGAAGGACAAATATCATATGTTTGCACATATAGGAGGATTAGGAGGAACTTGACGGAGGAACAAGGGGGAGAAGAAGGGGGGAAATGGTGGGGGAAAGGGAGAGAGGCAAACCATGAGAGACTCTTGAATGCTGACAAAAACTGAGGACTGATGGATGTGGGGGGGTGGGGGGATGGGCATGGAGGAGGACACTTGTGGGGATGAACATTGAGTGTTATGTGGAAACTAATTTGACAATAAACTATTTGAAAAAAAAAAAAACATGTATGCCTCATATGTACATGGGAGATACCCAGGGAAAAGTGAGTAACTCCCTGAGGTGGTCTAAAATACCTGCTGAAAGACCATTTTCAGCTAAGATGAAAGAAAAGTGTAGGGAGGACAGTTAGGAGGAGGCTACCAGGAAAAAGGCACAGTACATAAGGTAAGGCTTGTCCAGCAGTGCGTGCCTTCTCCACTAAAATCCTCCTGTGAGCTGATCATCCCTTTCCTGAGACACCCTTACAAATGGAGATTTCCTTTTTAAATATAAATTTCCCTTACAAAAGGGTAACTTCTACTCTGTTTCCAGAGCTTCCACTGTTTCTCAAAATAATCAGCTTAAAATAATCCTTAGCTCAAAGAGCCTGTATTTTGGATTGGCACATTTTGCTACCCTTCAGTGTCTTAGAAGGCAGAAGCCACGGGAGGCAGATGTGAGGAAGAAAAATAAGGCAAGGCAGATGCAGGTTTCTGGTTTAGACACGGAGATGAGAACCATGAAGGAGGCAGAACTGAGCAAAGATGAGGAAACAGCTCAATTTTGAATGGGAGTCTGAGGTGTCTGTGAGGCATTTAGAGAGCGCTCTCTGGGAGGTAGGTCTGGAATTAAAGAGGGAACTGAGATGAAAAAAATGTAGGAATTCTAAAAGTAAACGCGGCAGGCCAGAGGGCCCAGGGTAGAGTCAGGGTTAAGGCGTAAAGGAAATCGCTTTGGGGCCCCCGCCCAAGCCCACGCCCTTTCCCCACCCCCACTCCCCACAGCCCCACCCACAGGGCGCAGAGCAGGGCGACAGTAGCCCTTTCCGGCGCCAGGCTCGCAGGGCATGCTGGGGACGGAAGTCCGCCCCGAGCGCCAGGCACGTCGGGAGCTGTAGTTTGGGACAGGCCCAGAATTCCTTGCAAATCGCGGCCTTTGGTCACTTAAAGGGCAGGTCCAGAAAGCAGTGATGCTCCCGTGGCAGGGTTCCCCTCCGGCGGCGGCACAGGGCGCCCCGGGCCGCATCCCCTCTCTGCAGAGCGTGGCACTTCCACGCCTCCACGATCTGCTCCACCTGCAGGGGAAGGCTGGTCAAGGCAGAGTCCTGCAGTACCCCCTGACCGGCAGACCCTGTGTCGAGCCCCCCACCCAACCCCTCCGCGCTTTCTCCCCACGCTGCTGAGCGGATCTGAGCTTGGTTCCCCGCGTCTGCGCACCGGGATGAGAGGCTCCCGCTGGTTCTGCTCTTCCAGGGCGCTCAGCTCCGCCGGGGCCAGCAAAGCCAGTCTCAGCTCCCGCACCACCGGGGCCGCCACCTCGGCGACCGGCCGCTCCAGCACGGCCTGCGAACGCCAGCCCTAAGCCTGGACGGGCAAGAGCACCTGCCCCGCCGCCCGCTTGCCGGATTCCTGCGCCCCAGGCCTCCTTCCACACGCCCGCCCAGGGCCCCCTTAGCCCCCCAGCTCACCGCGCCCACGCGCGCCCAGCTCCGGGCCGCCAGGACGAGCTCAGCCTCGTCCACGCGGAGCTTGTCGCTGCGCAGCAGGGACAGCAACGCTGGCGCCGACAGCTCCAGGAAGCCGCGGGTCCGGAGCGCCTCCTGTGGGTCCGCAAATGGGTCAGGGAGGAGCAGAATGGGGTCTGAGGGGTTGAGAGTATGAAGATGGGGAGCGATACCTGGCTGTGGGCCTCTACAAACGCTATGCAACGCTCCTGCAGCGGTCCCAGGCCAAAGGTTACCGCAACCTAGGAACAGGATGAAGACTGTCAGGTTGGAGGCTGGAGAGACCATTGTGCTCCAGTCCTCCACACTGAGGACTAACTGCAAGCCTGTCCAGCAACACCCACCTGCAAGGCCTCACAAACCAGCTCCACATCCAGCACCTTCACCACAAACTGCAAGCACAGCTGGGAATAGAAATGAAAGCTGGTTGTACCAAGGTGAATCCCGCTCCAAGACCCCATCCCTGGAAGTGGTGAGCCACCCAGGTTCCTAAGCAGCCCCACACCTAAAGTGACCTCCCAGACCAAGAAAGGCAAGGAATCACCAGCGTCTGAGACTTGGTAAGCCTGAAGGGACTGGACACTAGCAGCCTACAAATCAGACTAGATGAAAGCAATGCGAAAATTCACTCTCCTTCTCTGAGGACACTTCTCTTCCTTGACTTGTGTCGCTTCTGACTAAAGACATTTTTTTTAATTTTTTTTTTAATGTTTTATTTATTTTTAGGAGAGAGAGAGAGACAGCGTGAGCAGGGGAGGGTCAGAGAGAGAGGGAGTCACAGGCTGAAACAGGCTCCAGGCTGTGAGCTGGCAGTCAGCACAGAGCCTGACGCGGGGCTCGAACCCACGAACTGCGAGATCATGACCTAAGCGAAAGTCGGACGCTTAACCGACTAAGCCACCCAGGCGCCCCAAGACATTTTTGTTTTAACTAGGATCTTGAATTTCACCCATGACCTCCCCCTCTCACCCTCACATCCAGAAGAGCACCGGGTCATGCCAGTTCCACTTCTCTTAAAGTCATGTACCTCTCTCTTGAGCTGCCACTGCCTCTCATCCCCATTGGACTGGGGAGGCCTTCCCATCTCTCCCAATCACTTCTCCTCTAAGCTCCAGATCCTCACTCCTTTACCTCTCCAATGAATCTCCATGTCCTCTGAGTAAAAAAAAAAAAAAAGTCTAAATTTTTGAAGGTCCTGCATGATTTCGTCCCCAATACCATCTCCAATCTCATCTGTCTCTCCTCCTCTTACACTTAGTCCAGCCACACTAAGTGGCTCACTAGCTCCTTTTGTGCCTCTGTGACTAGAATGCCACCTTTCCCATTCCCCCTCAAACCCTTACCTGTTCTACCTGATCCAACACAAATGTTTCCTCCTCCAAGAAGTCTTCCCTTCTTTTCTCCCCTATGGCAAGACTAGAGAGACCCTCTGTAGAGGCACCATATACCCTCATCTATCATACTTCTTATGCCCCTAGGTTAAGAGATTTCATGTGTCTATCTCTCTTTGAAGAAAAGGATCAAGGCTGACTTACCCTGGCATCCATGGCAACAGCCATAAACACCCCATATGCCCCCACAGTACACACAGGGCATGTACCTATCCTTTTGCACACTGGCACACATAATGCCTATTTACACAGAGAGATATCCATACTTCTGTGTTGGGACACGTTCCTCGCCAGACCAGAGTGTGTGTGAGGCAGGGTGTGATCTGAGCCCATAAGAAGCAAGAGAAATGAGACAGGAGCCTGCCACATAAACCCACCTCTCGCAGTTCCTCCAGCCCATATTCCACAGCTGCGGTCAGCACCTCCAGCACCTGCAAGGTGGGTGGTTGGGGATGTGGTGGAGAGTGTCTCCTGCCCCTCCCCCTCCCTCTCTCATCCATACCCTTGCCCAACAGGCTCACAGAGTGGCGGTGCAGCCTGACACTGTTGGTGTACAGGAACTCCAGCACTGCCAGGAAGGCCTCAGCTGGCACAGTGCTTAGCACCACGGGGCTAGGCATCTCAGGGCCCAGCTTCGGACCCAGAAGTCGTTGGAAGAAGTTGCATCTACAGGCCAACAAGCACCGGTGGGCAAACACCTCCTGCCGTTCTTGACCGACCACAAAGCAAACATCACTGTGGGAAGGGGAGGAGAGAGCCAGGGAAGAAGAGGCCAGAGTCTTGGATACAACTCTAGGCTTTGCCTTTGCCTACTCTGAGCCTTCATTTCTGTATCTGTCATATAAGGGATAGGGCTTAGTCCTTCCACCCAATGGTCTAGAGTACACACACAAGCCTGGATTCTAGTCCTGGCTCCATCCTGTGGTGCATCAGGCAAGTGACTTTATACCTTTGAATCTCAGGTTTCTCATCCATGAAATGGGATAGTAATCCCAAATCCTCAGGTCTTAGAGGAGGTGGCTATGCTTGATCCCTGAGGGGGAACCAAGGCTGATGCAATATTGACCTTACATACCCCTCTTCTCCCCAGCCTGACTCTTGAGGTAAGGGAAACTCTTCTTGGCTCCTCCTCCATAGACTGCAAACTCAGCTATTTTTCAGCCTCCTCCAGGCAGGAGGGGGTGGGGGAGCGGGGGTTGCAGAGTGCACTGGCTGCAGACAGACATGGTAGTGATGCACCATCATGAGACCAGACCGCATTTTCCATCTTCGCAACCACTTCCGGCCCCAGCCCCTGGGCCTCCCAACAGCATAGAGGGTAGGAGGCAGGAAATGAAGCTTGAGCTTCTGGAGCCTCCTAGTCCCAGGACCAAGGCCAGGGGTTCCCACTACTCAGACCGGACTGCAATCTCCAAAGCAGTAGGGTCATGGGAGTCTCCAACCCTTGGGGAGGCAGTGGGGACAAAAAGCAACATTCTAGTTCTCCTGACCAGCCCTGCCCCCATATTCTATCCCTAGTTTCAGATACCACTAGCATCCTGGGCAGTGAGCCCTAGGCAGCACCCTTGAACTACTTCCTGTCGGAAACTCTGGCTCAATCCCTTGAGTTTTGTTCCTCTTGTGAATCCCCAGTTCCCAGAACAGGGCCATCTGCTCCTCTGCCTCCCATAGAGGGGCTCAACTTACATCCCATCTCTCAAGATCCAGGGGGCAAAGGGCTCTTTTCTGCCAGGAACCCAAGATCCACAAAGGAAGGCCTTTACCTAAAGTCACACCAGCTGCTCCAGGCTCCAGCCCCCACTGCCCCTTCCCCCCACTTCTCGTTCTCAAGACATCATGGACACTGAGTGATGTGACCTGTAGTCATTCGTCACACTTGACTTCCCCACACTGAGTTCACCAGGAAGTAGGGTCATCTCCACCTCTTCCGTACTCAAGGCTTCCTCAGAGTCAAGGCTTTCCTTAGCAGAGCCAGCTAAGGAAAACCCACAGACAGAGCCCACCCCCTCACCTGTACTGGGGATTGTTGAGAAGACTTCGGAGTGCTGTGGAAAAGGGCGCAGCCTCCCCGTGCACAACCAGTCCTGGGGTCTCCATGGGTGGGGTGGGGCAGGGAAGTAAGAGAATAGAATAGAATAGCCTAGGAGGCCTGTTGTCTGTTGGTCTGTGGGAGGGGGTAGCTGGGAAGGAGCAGGAGGCCTGGCTAGGCCTGGGAGCTGGTAAGGAGGCTAGAAAAGCCTGAGAGGGAGGGGCAGGAGCTTGGGAAGGCTGTTTGCTGAGAAGCTAAAGTTGAGGGATGGGGCAGGAGAGGCCAGGTTTCTTAAGAAGGCACCCAGAGGCTAGTGCAAGAGGCCAGAGGCTGGGCTTGGGGATGGGGAGTCAGGGAAGGGGCCAAGAGAGGCTGAGGGTGGAGCAGACTGGACTGGGGAGGAGAGGCTGGCAGCGGATGAGGCCCCAGCTGGGAGCCTGCCAGGCAGCAGTGGGTGGGAAGCCTGTGGGTTTCCACGGAAACTGGAGCCCAGCTTGAGAGGCCCCGCCCATCTTCCACAGGCCCAGGGAAAACTTCAGCCCTCAGAGGGGCCAGAAGCTTAGTAGAGGGTCTCAGCACCCAGGCCCTGCCTGTCTTGGATCCAGAGTTCAAACTCCCTGCCCCTCCTACTCCTTCTCTCACATGCACACAGGGCCAGGATCAGGTTAGCCAGACCTGGGAAACCCCCTCAACAGGGAAATTCCTCACCCTCATGGAGTTTTCAGAGCCCAGACTGGCTTGTCTGGGAGGGGGTTGGGCAGTCCTGTCCCTCCCAGAAGGAGGTCAGGTGAGGAGGTGTCAGCTCTGACAGAGGCGTCATGGCCTCTGGCATCCCTAAAATGCAACCAGTTAGGGGTTTGGCACTCTAGGCACACCAGAGGTGTGGCCAGCTGGGGACAAGCTCCAGGGCACTTGGGTCAGCAGGGGTCAGGAGGCTGGACTCTGGTTTACTGCCAAGTCTAGTCACCGCTATTGCACCATTGTTGCGTCAGGTCTGCTCCCACCAGCAGAACTGATGTGCCTCCCCTCCCCCTGCACACAGCCCTGAGCTGAGGAAGTCATCCAAACCCCACCCCAGCTCTGCACAGGGAGCGGAAATGTTTGTCCTTATTGAGGCTAATGGGGAGAGGACAGAGCCATGACGTTCTTCTTCCTGTAGGCGAAGATCATGATTCCTGAACAGCCACCCCTACAGGCTCAAGGTCTCCCCATATTACAGGCCTCTGCAATTTGCTCACAGCTTCAGAGCCAGCCTTCAGAAGGGGAGAAATGGATAGCAGTTCAAGAGCCCTGGAATAGGGAAATACCTTTTTGACCAGAGCCACTCTCTACATTTGCCCCTCAGTACAGGGGTTCTAGGCCCCTGTTATCTCCTCTTCCCTGATGACTCAGGCACCCTGCACTCAACACGTACTCAGTGTAGTAACACTTCCAAGTTAAGCCAGAGCCAGGACGGAAAGGAGGAGACCAAAAAACAGGAGTGGCTGACCAGTAACCCAGGGCAACTCCACAACACAAGGGGCCATTAGCTTCCCGTCTGCCAGTCAGGCCAGCTGGGTGAGGAAGGGCTGTGGAGCTAGGAGAGAGTTTGGAGGCCAAAGGCTGCAGGTGACTCAGGTGCCTGTGGGAGTTTCGGGAGAAGAGGGCCTTCATCCCAAAACTGATTCTGGAGGTAGGGCCAGAGGCCAAATGGAGAGGGTGGAAGGAGCTTCCTGAGTCATCTGCCTCCAACCAGCCTGAACCAATTGTAGGGGAGGTCTTTGTGCCAGCCACGCTAGAAGCAGGTAGGGGCAGATGTCTGGATTCAATAACCCACAGGGGTAGAAGGATCCGTGGGGTTGAACGTGTTGGGTCTGTCTGTGTCTTCCTCTGGTTAGGGGCTTGAGGCACCACTGTCTAGGCTGAGGCAAACAAAGGGCAGATTCATCTCCCTTCTGGTGGAAAAGTCAAGTGGAAGAGAGAAAAGGAGGTGTTATTTAGAGCTCACTTAGCGAACCTCCATAGTGCTCAGGGGAAAGTGGAGTTCAGGGGGGCAGGGGCTACCCCAAAATGATAGTCTGAGCAGCATTGCTTATGTCCCTAACAGCCAGTAACACTCTAAGCACCTAGGAATCCACGCAGCTGGGGACAATTTGATTCACCTGTCCCAAAAACAGGTAAGAAGGGGTTAGAGGGTAAAAAACCTTATTACGGAGTGAAAGACTGGATGGGGTACAAAGATGGCCAGGTAGGCCATCCCATCCAGGTGTGGGTCTTCCAGCCGGCAGGTCCATGGCTAGCAGGTCTGTGCCCCCCGGACGCCAGGAGGAGGATACTACCAAAGACCCTGGGCTGAAACTATCACCGGTGAGGCCTCCGGGCCACCTGCCCAGTATAGAAGAGACCCGACTACCAGGTCTGGGCCCAGCCTCCCGCCGTGGCTCTGTGCTGGGCCCGGCCTCGTCCTTCTCACGCCGCAACTCGCTGGCCGCACCAGGCGCAGGTCCTGGGGGTCGTCGACCATCTCTGGGCCCAGTTCCTCTTCTAGGTTCAAGGGTTAGCTTCTCCGGGTTGCCCCTAGCACCCGTGCATCGGGTGGCGCCCTCCTACCGCACAGAGCCAGCACCAGGGGAGCGCTGGGAGGCCTCACCTTTACAACGCGCCCTGCAGGCAGCGCTGGAGGCGAGGCTGCGCAATGCGTGCTACTCAGGGGCAGAGGCCGGGCCTCTGGCTCAGGAGCTGTGTGATCTGGTACGTGTGTGCCTGCGTGAGATCAGTCCCCCGCGCTACAAGCTAGTGTGCAGCGTGGTGCTGGGGCCGCGCGCCAGCCAGGGTGTGCACGTGGTCAGCCGCGCACTCTGGGACACGGAACGCGATGGGTTGGCCTCTGCCGCCTTCACCAACGCCTCGCTCTTCGCCGTGGCCGTGGTCCACGGGCTCTACTATGAGTGAAGAGGGCTTCCAAGTTCTGCAAAACGGTTTATTATCCCAGGAGGAGGCCCTCCCTGGGGCTCAATCCCAATAAATAAATGTCTGTCAATAAATAAAAGTGGTCCATAAATAACGTCCCCTAGCTGGGGACTAAGGCTCAGGCTTTTCTTGGAGAAGGGATAGGAGGCTGCTGGGACAGGCAGACTCCAACCCCAGTAAAGCTGGTCCCTGATTCCCTGGGGGATTTGGCCCAGAGCCCCCAGTGAGGCACCAAAGGGACAAGGAGGCCCACAAGGCAAGGGCCAGAGCCTTACAGGCACAGGCCTGCCTCAGCCCTGAGGCTTTAGGTCATGGCCTACTCTGCAGGTTAGGGCCTAGGCTGGGCAGCGGTCCCGGAGCAGACGCAGGGCATAGCGGAGCCGCTGCCGCAGGTCCGGAGAACAGCCCAGCTGCCGAAGGTGGGAAGCGAGGTAAGTACAAGCACTGCGATTGCGGGCCACAAAAGTCACAAGCAGGGGCTCCCAGCCACTGAGGATCAGTTTGGTGTGGTCTCCATAGAAGTTCACCTATGTGCAGAAGGGTGGCACTGATCAGGTCCTAGGCTCCAGATCCAGTTTCTTTCCCAGCACAGTAGGCCTCCTAGACCTTCCCCCCAACTCCAGGAGGGGTTCTTACCTGGACAGTGCCATCACTAAACAGCATGAGTAGGGCCTGATCAGTCTTAACCCACTGCAGCAAGAGTGGGGGAACAGGCATCTCTACCTCTTCCACACTGGGCAGATCACCACCCTGGGAGCAAGGAGCAAGTTATTTATCTGACATGAGTCAGGTCCCTCCCCATTAATGTCTCCCTTAGGGGTTCAGCCTCTAGCTCTTATCCCCCTAGCCACTCCTGCCAATGGGAATAGGAAGGGATCAGGATGTGTCAGTCCTCAGTGTGCCCCACTCCAGTCCACATACCTTCATGAGATGCTGTTCCATGTAGGAGGCAAAATATCTTAGGACACCGAGCTGAGGCTGCAGGGCCCGAGGCACAGCACCCACAGAGAAAGAGAAGTGTTTTGTGCTGGTAGGGTTGTAGTGCACAGTCCTGGAGGAGAGGAGACAGGAAGTCAGACAGAGCCCCTGCACTGATGCCCCTCCCTGAGAAACCCCAGGACACCAAGTGCAAGAACACACAGCTGCTGGGCACAAAGGCCTGGATACAAGGCACTCCATAACAGCACTTACTTTCTGTTAGCTGAAAGGGCCATGTGTGTGCCGTTGTTGAAAAGCACAGCCACACGGCGGCTGGACAGTTGATACCCAAAGCCAAATTTGTTGGAGTAGTCAACCCACTTGCTGACCCATACCAGAGGCTCTGGCTGTGCAAGGGGAGCTGGGTTCTGTTCCGCTGTCATGAAAGAGGAAGGAGTGAGGACCTGTTCCCAACATCTCAGCCAAAGAATTCCCACCACCATTCACCCACACCAGACCCCAACCTTACCCGGGGGCATGAAGGCCAGGCAGTTTCTCAGAGCACAGAGGGCTGACTCCACCACTGTGGCCACAGTCAGACCTTCTTCAAACCCTGAAGGAAACAGGGCACTCAGAATTAGGCATTAGTTCCCCAGGACACAGGCCTTGTTTCTCTGACCACTCCTTCCCTCTGGTCCCTGGTCTCAGCCCCAGCAACCTCTAGCACTTCTCATCTTTCTGGCTGCTCACCATCTCCACTGCTTGCCAGTGTCCCACGTGGTGAGCTGTCTTCAGGTGCTGTCTCTACCAAGCTGAGGGGTGCTGGACCAGAAGCTGCTGGAGCCTGGATGGTTGGGTAGAAGGGAGAGAGACAGGCCTCAAACTCCAAATCCTTGAGAGTCCATGGCCCAACCTTGCCCTGACAGCCAGGGCACCCCAGGTCAGTCCTGGCTGGCTAATGAGACACAGCCAATTAGGCCACCACGAGGCTAGATGCTTCACTAGCTTCTTTTATCCCAGGCTTCCTGCAGCTGCTAGGGTGAGTGTGAGTCAGGGAACACTACCCACGTGAGCACCTCACCTCAGGCCTGGCGTCTTGATGGCCAATGGATGTCCGAGTGAGGCCATTCACCAAACAGGAGACCTCATCCCGCTCCTCAGGATGGTTCTTACCTGGGTGGGGTAAGATATAGCCCTCAGTATCCTGCCCACCCCACAGGCTCCCTGTAGGGAAGATACAAATGGGCACATGCTCTCTATGGGTTCAAAGGCACTCATACTCATGCCCCCACAATATATGTAACAAGTCCCCCCTGCCACTCTATACCCTCAAAACCACTGACATCCCAGACTCACTCTTCTTCTTCCTGCCAAAGAGGCTCTTGGTAACTTTGACAAACAGAATCCTAGCTGGGTTAAGGGGTATCAGGTCTGGGACTGTCACACAGCTGCTGACAGGGAGCCGGTCGGGAGTGTAGCCCTGAGGAGGGAAGTCATGTGAGCAGAGAAGGGAGGCCTTAGGGGGCCTGTCACCTACCCCCCATTGAATCCCCTAAGAATATGCAGACTTGACTTAGGTGTCTGGGGAGCCACAGACCTTGGTAAAGAAGTCATGGCGCAGGATCTGGTCAATTGAGGGGCGGTCTTGGGGCGAGGCTCGAAGGATGGCAGCCAGGAGCTGCCGGGCAGGCAGTGAGAGGCTGGCGGGCAGTGTGTAGTGAACCTGTTTGATGCAGCGATATGTCTCCTTCAAGTCAACTGTCTCAAAGGGGGGACTCCCACATAGCAGTGTGTACCTGTAGGGTAGAGATAAGGGGGTCAGGAGTAAAGTGGAAGGTACACCCCACACGGGCACGCACCAGTGTGTAGATGACCCTGGGACTCACATGACACAGCCCAAGGACCACACATCTGCCTCCGGGCCATGGCCCTGTCTCTGCAGCACTTCTGGAGCCACATAGTTGGGGGTGCCACAGATGGTTCTGAAAAGGAATAGGAAGAGAGAAGGTTCAGACCCAGCCTGGCTAGCTCCCCCTCCCACATCCCTGCCCCCACTGTGAGTCCAGACAAAGCAGCTGCCTGTCACCAAAGGCCAGAGAACTCCTGCTTGTCCTGGGACAATGGATGCTGGGGATGGCAGCTGAGTCCCCGCCCACCCGCCTGGCCCAGCTGCTCAGCTGCTCTGCAGGACAGGGAGAGGCCCTGACCCCCAAACCAGCCCCCTCCTCCAAGGCCAGCAGAGGGTCCATCACTGATCCTTCCCTCCTTCCCCCACTCCCGTCTGTCAGACACCCACACAGCCTGTCACCTCCTATGGTCTGTGCCACACACACACAACACCAGCTGTCACATCTCCCAAAAACACTCATCTATCACACATGCTATCTGTTGTCACTCACACCCAGTCATCATGGCCTCAGCAGGGTCTTCTTACACAGGATGACATGCCCTGCTATTCCCACACTCGGTCTGTCTCACACACACATTGCTTATGTCACCTTCCCCCAGTCACACACAGAATCAGTCAAACATCTCCAAGACTCCTTACATCCCATCCGTCTCAGGGATTCAAACACCAACAGGACCCTCAACTTTTCCACCAGTCGTGGCTGCTACCTCTACCTTCCCACACACACAACCAACCATCATCCCTCCCCATCTATCACACACACACATCGGTCAGCCATCATGCCTCCCACATACAAACTGTCACGCATGTCATCTGTGTCACACAGACTGTGGCCACCCCTCTCCTCAAACACTCACTTCTTCCTGTGTTCCGGGGGTTCCAATCGGGTTGCCAGCCCAAAGTCCCCCATCTTCAGTTCCATGTTCTCAGTGATAAAAAAATTTCCTGAACAGGGAAGGGCAAAGAGGTGTCAGACTCCTTTCTCTCTACCTCCTCAAACCCTAATTCCGCGGGCCCAGGATTCTCACCCAGCTTGAGGTCTCGATGCAGGATGCCCCGCTGGTGCAAGTACTTGAGTCCGGAAAGGATCTGGCGCAAGTAGTAGCGCACCTCTGGCTCCAACAGGGTGTGCCGGGCCTTCCAGATGTGAGCCAGGGACTGCAGAAAGCCACTGCTTCAGCCCCTGGTCCGCCCTCTTTGACCCTCCCTCCATTTGCACTTGCTGAAGGAAGAGACAGGGCTCCAGCTTTGGGTCTCAAGGCCCCCATTGCCTCTCCCACTCCCGTCGTCATCGCTCACCTTTCGGCTGCAGAGCTCCAGGAAAATATATATGTTGTCAGCATCCTCAAAGTGGTGTGAGAAACGTACGATGTGGCGGTGCTGCAGGCCGCGGTGCAGTTCAATCTCGTTTAGGATCTGCAATAGGGGCGCAGGGTGGTCATTCTTCAAGGGCTCCTTCACTACTGTCCCACCCCACCCCTGATCTGTTGGGCCCAGGGCCCACCTTCTCGCGTTGATGCGGCTTAGTGATGCGGCTCTGTGAGATGACTTTGACCGCGTAGGCGTTGCCGGTCTCTGTGTCAGTGGCCTCGTAGCAGCGGGCAAAGCCCCCCTGTGGGAAGGGGGCATCAGTCAGGGCGCTCCAGGACAGCCAAGTCTGGCCCGCAGATGTCCCCGCACCGAGGGCAAGCGTCCCCGCGCTGAGGACAAGCGTCCCCGCGTCCCCGCGCTGAGGACAAGCGCCCTCGCCCCAGCAGGCGCCTTCAAGAAAGTCGGCAGGACGCTCCCCCCCCCCAGCCTCGTTAGCACCCCACCCCACCAGTTCACCTTGCCCAACAGGCGGCCTTTGAAGTAGGTACGGCCGCTGTGCGGGTCCGTGATGAGGCGCCCTGAGTCCGGCGCCGGTGGTCCGGCCGGCATCTCCAGATCATGTCCCGGCAAGGCATTCCCAGGCGGCCCGGGCCCGGCAGGGGGCGCGGGCGGGGCGGCAGCACGCGGGAAGGGGCGCGGGGATAGGAAGCCGGCGGCGGGCTCCATGCAGGCGGTGCGTCGTAGCGCCGGCCGGGCTTGTTTCGGTTCCGCCAAGCCCCGGCCGCGCGTGGCACGGCCAGGATTTGTTACGCTGTGATCGCGCCCGAGGGAGCCCGGCGTTTTT